CCCTTCTTCCGGTTCTTTTCAGATTGAAACACAGAACCAGACTTTTAGAATCTAAAACTAATAGGGACGAATGGCAATTAGAATTGGAAAAGGTTCTACCTCGATTAAAAGTAACTGTTAAGACAGGTATTGAATGCTCTTGAATGAAAATCGGCTAACAAGAACGATCGCTATTGCATATCCTAATTTATCGCAGACTCGAGGGATTGGAGAGCACATCTTGAACAGATGAAACAATTGCGAGCGAATATTGCGACCAATCTGACTGGTACAAAGACTCATTTGAACAAAATCTACACCGATATCGGAAATACTTTAGACAAGATCAAAACTAGGGAAACTTATCTCAATAGGCAACTCGAGCCTGCTTTAACAGAATACCGTTCACTACAAGTGAGTTCACATTTAACCTTATATTATTTTTAAATTTTTATATACGTAAATTTTTATATACGTAATATTACATGTAATGGAATGATATGAAATTACAATTTAATCTAGGAAGAACTATCAAAGGTCAAAGAACAGTATAGAGATGTTAGTGGCGGCGTTACCGAACGAACGCGAGTTCTTAATAAATTAATGGAGGAATTGGAGCATATAAAGAGAGAAATGGATGAGAGAGGATCCAGCATGACTGACGGAAGTAAATACTCATTAGAATGCTATTTTTGTGATTTTAAATCTCAATATCTCAAAATCTCAATGTCTGACGCTTAAAAATCTTATAGCACCGCTCATTAACATAAAGAAGACAATCACGAGGATGAAGAATGAAATTTCCGAGATGAATATCCGAATCGGCGTATTGGAGTATAGCTTAATGTGTGCGAGGGTACGAGATCGGACGCAATTACGAGAGGACATGAACAGCACGAGTACCTCGATAATAATTTAATACATGTCGTGCATTTTCGTTACTTATATTTACATATTTTAATCCGTCCAATATGTGATGTTATATATAAAATCTAGTTTTGACTGTGTGTATTGTCATCACGGGTCCAACTACTCTGCCTCTAACGAAGTTGCAATATGACAACTACGTAGTACTGAAAAAAATACTGCTTTGATTGCAGTATGGTGCACATAAAATTTTCTTTGGCACTTTATACGTTTATATGTAGCTCGCAATTGTCAATCGACACTATCACCGAATTCCAATTACGTTAAATAAATAAAGTGTCTTTTTTATCTGATGATTTTATCAATCTTGTCTTATCTGTTCAAAAACTATTTATATCTTTTATAGTTTCTCTCTCTCTCTCTCCCCTCTCTCTCTCT